ACACATAAAGGAAAATCTTGAAAAACAGCAATGATAATGAGTACTATATGGCTGAAGAGTTTTTATTTCTGTAAGAAATTATGAGCTGATCTGGGATAGAAAGCAAATTCACAATAATGTATTTTGCTTGTTCCCTCCACTGTATTTGCTTTCCTGTTTACAATGACTGTATGGCCTACCAGCAACAGTTTGTATTTGCCAACAACAATCATGTAACAGCAACTGGATTATTTCAGTTTTTTCTTATGACTAAATACAAGATGTCTGTGGCACCTTTTTGAGTATGTCACATGATACCTGTATTATTACCTGTATTATATGTATTATTATGGAAAAAATGTAAAGTATTCCTCACTGTACTTCTGCAGAAAGTTTTCATTCATGACTATGCAATATTGCTGAAATAAAGAGAAAGTCTGGGCATGTCTTCCAACACCGATTTCTTTGCTTGTGGTAATGCTATTCACATATAAAGAGTAACTAGACTTGGTGGACTTTCTCCATGATTACTTCAGATTTGAGCGCTATTGCTGTGAGTCTGTTCAAATCACTTCCTTCAAATTCTTTCCCCATTACACTTCTGGTGAGCTTTAACATATCACTCTTTGAACTCTTGTATTTCCTTAGTCAGTTACTCTTTCTTAGAACCAGACCAGAAAGGCTTTATTACAGTTTAATTTATTTACAAGCTAATTTTGATGGAACTTCATGCGCATTCTCAGCATTCACAGAGGACGGCACTCTTTTGAAGAAAATGGGCTCTAACCATGATTTACCTTGTATATCCCAGATGTCAGAAGAATGGGGCATACACAAAAACATGAGGGTGTCTAAACCAGCTGACATAGCCTGTACACAAACACTAATGAAATACTGCATTGATGATATGTCTATGCTGACAATTAGTGGGACAAAAAGGTTTGACAGATAGATTAAATGTGCTTTGATTTTAAAACAGTTTCTGTTATACCAAATATAAAAATAACTTTTCAAAACTCTAAAGATTTCAACAATCTTTAATCTCCCCACTGATTATCAAGCAAAGGATTTCTGTGCGTATTTACATCTTGTTGCCCAAAATATTAATTACGAGCATTTACTTATGGTTCTTTCATGGCCTTGATGGCAACTTAAAGTATAGAAGGAATGTGCAATTCAATTGCTAACTCTTAAGTACCCATGGCTTTTTAGCAGTAATGTGGGGAGAAAAAATTGTCCTACTAGCCTGATGGTTGATATTAAACACATTTCTGAAACTTTTTCTCTTTTGTTGTTTACATATCAGAGTTTTCATAAATTATGAAAATTCATAAATTATGAAAATTCTTCATAAATTTTTCATTATGTTTGGTTTTTGCATCCCTTGGCTGAGTTTTCAAACCAGTTGAAGTAATGCATGTATACAAATGAAAAATAGCAACAGTCAACTTCAGAAATGAAATATAAGACAATTAAATCTCACTCAAATAAGAAGCTTTTGACGAGAAGGCTTAAGGTTAAGAAGACTTAACCCTAATTAGTGCTATTTTTTAAAAACATTTCTAATCTTAGTCTCCCTGGAAGTATCTGTTAAGAGCCTTGAGAATTACCTGATCAAGGAAATTTAATAATGTTCAAATTTAGGTCTCAGTTGTCCTAGTTCAAAACTCCACTTACAGGAGAGTTGCAGATTTTTTTATTCTACTTTTATACTTAAAGTATGCCAGGCCTTAAATAAAAATTTGCAAAGGTGAATTCAGCAAATCTTTCCACTTCCTTGGACAATTCGCCAAATTGGTCAAATTAGGCAAGTATGAAATTAGGAACCAAAAGAAAAAAAAATAATCATTCTTCTATTTTTTTGCCTTGACTCTTGGAAACATGTTTTTGTGGGTAAACCACAGTCTCTCAGAAAATGTTGGAGATTAAGGGATAAGTTGCAAAGAAATTTAGTATAAACTTTCTCATAGAAAAACATTAAATCAAGATTTTAAACCTTGAATTATTTATGTTTTCTCAATATCTCTAACTCTTGGATCTCATATTCCTCGCTCCTCGATCTCTTTATAATTATATTTATGTATCCTCTAAAAATGATGACTTTTTCATACCATTAGAAAGGATTTTTCATAACTAATAATTTAGGGCTGTTAAACTGTGCCCTACCACAATTACAGACAGTAAGATTTTTTTAGAGCTCAAAAGCTGAGCTTTTAATTACATTGGTTTAGCAAAATGCCAGCTTTAGAAAATGTTTGGTCTTTAAGCAGACCAGTTATTTTAAGTTCAGAGCTGGGATTCAGTTTTCATTTGTATGACTGGGAAACTTAAGAGAGTTATTGAACAACATTTGAAATTCTTCCAGTGTAATTTTATGCTACTATTGTTTCTTTGGATTTAAAGTATTTAGAAATCTTAACAGAAAGGGAGGAATTAGTTCATTATTCCTACAGGTCTGTTGACCTGTCAAGCAAATATACCCCTGCATGCACACATATGTACATATGTATGTCAAAGAGCTTACTGAACTAGTATAATTTTGAGTTTGCAGATATGCATACAAGGTTCAGCAGACTTACAAACCTATTTATATCAAAGCATAGTTTGTATTGGTTGCTTCATTTCCAGAGTGAGCAGTTTATTCCACATGAACCTCAAGTCTCAGCTAGAACTGCTGTTGAACATTCTGAACTGCCAGTTTAAATTTTACAAACAAGGAAAATACATACTTGACTAATCTATAAAGATTCCTTATTTCATTGCAATGGCAGAGAAGGTTATTCTAGGATATGTGGTTATCATAAAATAGTCACAATCCTAAATATTATGGATTCGTATTATTCCAATTCAGGGCAAACAGTCCCTTATTCCAAATCTTTTATTGCCAAGATAATGAAAACCATACTAAGTTGGATATGATTGACAAAGAAACTAATCTATAGTTTAAACATTTTAAATGGCTTTCCTTTTCTTTTGTTTTGTCTTTGCCTCCTGTTTCTAATTTTTATTGATAGATTTCTGTCTGCACTGAGAAATGAAGACACTGTTCACAGAAAAAAATCCACTTGAAACAATTGCCTAGTGGTACAGGTTTTCCATTTTCTCTCATGAGATAAACTGTGAAAGTGACATTATCATGTACTCGTATTTTGGGAAATTTGAGAGTCCTAGGGTACCTATGAGAAGATACTTTGGTATATGCTTCTTTGTTAAATCATTGCAGCTGAATTACAACCCTTTAAATTAAAAAAAAAAAAAAAAAAAAAAAAGAAAAAAGAAAAAAGAAAAAAAAAAATCTTATTTTCCCTTCTAACAGCACCATGATTTTAATGACTTTAAAGGGCTTAATCAGGAGTTTTTATTATTCAGTGTGGGAGACTGAGGTTCGTTTCCATAACAGATATGGTGTACTCAGAGCTCTAAGCTGACACAGCAAATAGACAAGGCATGTTTGAGACCACAGCTCTCCAATTCTGGACAGATTTCCTTAAAGGACTGTGAAAAAAAAGAAGGATAAGGAGCATACATTTTGGAGAGCTTGTCCTCAGGATCCCCAGCAGAGATCTTAGCTAAATGAAACTCCTGATTTTGAATCAAATCAGATGCTGCACCAAAATTTTATCTATTTTGTTTTCATCTGGATAATTTAGAGTAATTTTCTGTCTGGATAATTAAGAGTATTTTTCATATGCTTATTTCAGGTCTTAACCTAGACAATAAAATGTTAACTGTGTCTAAACAAAGGAACCAGAACTATGGTTCCTTGTTTCAGTATTTATGCGAGGTTATTATATAGGATATCTGAAAAAATGCTGGCTTTGTCCTTTAACAATTGAACTAAATCAATATCTTTTTTCTGTGCTAGGATGAAGGATAAGCTACTCTGTGATTGTGACTGTTTATGGCGTGCATGATTACAGCAGAGTTCTTGTCTCAAAAATAACAAAAGGTGGTAATTTATTTAATGATCCACTTTCGTTACTGAATCACATGAAAATTATTTCTTAATCACTATTAGACAGTCATTCTGCTAATTAACAATAAAACACATGCTTTTAGATTTGTCAGCACAGAGAATTCTGTCAGATATCGGTGTGACTTACTGAAAAAAATCCTAATTCAGCTTTTATTGTTATGAATATAGTCTAATCCATGGTCTTAGAGTTATGACATGTTTGTACAGCATAACTGGGGAAAATCTTGTGATAAGTCTAAGGCAGGAATACTAGTTAAGTAGGAATGGAATTTGGAATGGGAACTGTGAACTACTGCTGGTAAAACTGAAGTCAAAAAACAGAATGAGGATTTAGGCCTGAACATGTGCAGAAGCATGCAAAGTCAGAGCTATGCTAAGATAATTGCATCGAAGAAAGGACCTCCACCCTCTTCAATGGATATAGCTGCTTGAAACCAGGGAGGAGGGGATCAGTCAGCCAAGCATATGCTGGCAATTCCCTTTGGTGCAGGGGGGCATTCCAGTTAGCTCCAATCCTGCTTTAAATGTGTGCACCACTGTCATATCTCTCCATCCTGTGCAGGTGTCTTGGGAACTTACACTGTCTCAAATGTTAGTAAATACCTCTTTTTAGGCGAACTCAAATCCTGTCCCTCCGGCCTTGCTACCTTTCACATCAAAGCAGAGAAGAAGGAGGCAAAAAAGTATTTGACTCTTTGAAATGAGTGAACATGTTGTCTTTGATCACGGTCACATGTTGCTGACTGCCATGGAATCAGTTTTATGGTATGCTCTAATGTTTTATAAAATAATTAACTAATTAAATCCAGTGATATAGTATATTATCCAGTGGGGCAAATACCTTCTGGAGTATCTCAATGCCAAATGCCTGAACTCCTTCTCATAACTAAACTTAGATAACTCTTGTATCTCTGAAATACAAACCCTTGCTTTGTAGATGGATATGCCCTAAAACTTTGTAGAGGTTAAATAAATTTAACTGAGGACAACTGCAGCTGAAGGTTAATTAGTCACCCTATTGAAAATAAAATATATTTTATCTCACCTTGCCATTAAGGTCCCATTAAGATTCAACAGAGCCACTAAAGAAAAAAAAAATACAGTAATTCCATTATTTGTCTGGAAAATTATAAGACTATCAATCAGAACATGTGCAAAGAAGGACTAAGCTGCAGAGAGGATTTTTTACAAGGTTGACATTATTGAAGAAACCAGTCTGCTGGGTTAGAAAATTTTGTGGTTATTTCATAGTAGAATTAGTATATTGGATCTTCTTTTGTACTTGCTGGAACAAAATCAGGTTAATTAATCCATTTTCATCTCAGAAAGATGCCTCAGATGTTTTATTTTTATTTCCCTTTCTATTGTTTTAATATCATCCTTACTGTAGGAAGTACAAGGCTTGCCTCCTGGATCTGAAAATCTAATTAGCAGCTCAGACTGTAAATAGTTAGTTTAGAATATGAACAATAGGCTGTGAAAGAGCATTGTATGATAGCCAAAAAACAGACAAGAAAGAAAACTCATGAAAACAAGACTGTAGAAGAAAAATATTTGGAACTTTTAGGTAAAGAGGTGAGTTGGAGGTACTGTGATAATTCCCAGAGATTTAGAAAAGCATTCCTTTGCAGAAAAAAAGAGACAACCAATCATCTGTATTTTGATTAAATATCTTAGATATATTATTCATATGACTTCTAAAAAGTGTATATGCTAGCTATTTAGCACTTACTATACAAAAAAAATTTCCTTAATTTTACTTGTTAATGTAGCTGACAGCCTGGAAAACTACAGTTTTCTAAGTGTCCTACACATTAATTCCTCATAAAATTCTCTAGAAAGGGAAAGGATATTTCATTTGTATGGCTTGAAATTTTTAACAAATAAGACTATCCCTGGGAGACCACAGACCATTTATGATAGCTAGATTGATTTCTTTCTGTGTTAAAGTCTTGATGATATTTTTCAACACAGTTCATTGCAAGCAAGATTATTCCTCAAATACATACATTCACTAAAGAGGCTTTGCAGGCTGCATTAAAGGGATGAAAATTTGGGCAGCAAGGGAGTAGTAGTGTTTAATAGAAAGAAACAGAGTGTCTGGAAATATACAGAATAAAGAAATCCAAGCATGGTACAAGGGTGGTTGCAGTGAAAAGGCGCCCAAACCTGATAGTGCCAACACCAGCCAGACCCAAGACAGACCTGTCAGTGGCCGAGGACTGACAATGCCGGTAGTGCCTTTGGGATAACTGATTTAAAAGGAGGGAAAAACTACTGCACAGCATAAGTCAGGAAAGGAGTGAAAGCAACTGCCCTGCAGACCCCAAGGTCAGTGAAGAAGGAGAGGCAGGAGGTGCTCTGGACCCTGGAGATGAGATTCCTCTGCAGCCTGTGGTACAGACCATGGTGAGGCAGCTGTGCCCCTCTTGACATCCTGTCAAATGGATTCCACACTGCAGCAGGGGAACTGGTGGCAACTCCCATTCCCCATTCTCATGTGCCACTTGGAAAAAAAAGGGTAGAAGAACTGAGAGTGAGGTTGAGCCCAGGAAGAAAAGGAGTGGGGAAGAAACTGTTTTGTGTTTTATTTCTCATTGCCATGCTATGGCTTTTGATTGCCAATAAATTAACTTCCAAGTGGAGTGTGTTTTGCTTGTGACTGAAATTGGTGAGCAATCTCTTATCTTGAACTATGAGCCCTTCATCACTCTTGATGAAGCCCTTGATGAGCCCTTTTGTGCTCTTCCCAGACAAATATGGGGAGTGAAAAAGCAGATTGTGGACACCTACCTGACAGCCAAGGCAAAACCACTACAAATCATGGCCTCATGTCTGTGATGTCTGTGTTGGAATGACAATGGGTGCAGTGACTGAGTCATCATGCTAAACATAGCTTTGAGACTTCCCAAGACAGTTCCTCAATATGGTGCAGCTTTAGTGTTTCATAGCACATTTCAGAGTAGGTACTTGCTTCTATCCTGTCCCTACAGAGAGCCACACAACAGTTTCATTACAAAGTGGGGTAAGTTAGGTGTTATTGCTCACTTTATGGAACAGTTTTGACTGAGAGTCTAAATAAAAAATCATATTTATTCAATGCAGATTAGACTTGAGGAAGAGTTACTTCCTCAACCGTTACACACGGTATTGGTGTGTAATAGAGCAGGATTTGTAATACTGATGTGTGCACATGAAGAAGGAAACAGGGATGTAAAGAAAAAAATAGGTATGATCTTTACAACAAGAAAACTCTACTCTGAAAAACAATACTCAGGTTGTAAACATATAAATATTTTGCAAAAGTAATAATGCAGAAAAGCCTTTCCTTCGTTTTACTGCCATATCCTGTGGCAAGCAAGAAAGAGGAAATGCTCTATAAATTGTCATTTTACCAGCTTCCTTTGAACAACACCACATAAAACTTAGCTTTGCTACAATATAATTTGCATTAAATTTTCATGTAGGTAATTCACTTCATGCTGCATTCTGCTTTGTGGTAATAGTTTCTCACCCTTTTTTTTTACAGGTCTAACAAGTATTTGTTTACCTGCACCATATTTTCTAAGCTGATTCCATCTTCAAGTTCTTTTTGCCTCAACCACAGGAGAGTCTTCCTAAAAGCTTGACACTAAATATCCAGAGGTAATTAATTATATTCAGACCAGCACTTAGTGTAAGCCTGCTATAGGATTACCATGTGGAATTTTCCAAACTTACATTATGATGAAATATCCAATTAGTGTATTGTAGGCAGGCATGAATCTCATTGTAGTTAAAACATTTGCTGACAAGCTGGACTTCCAGTTTAGCTTTGTGGACTGAGAGAAGTAATCTGATCTTATCTGCCTTTCTGTTGAGAAAATTCTCAAAATACTTTACCATTAGACCCACCCCCTCTTTAAGCAGCTTTTACCTGAGGACAAGAAGAATCTTTTATACTCACCAATCTTATTGTTTGCACATACCTTATTTGAAAAGAATGTGTATTACTGATATTCACCATTCAGAGTGAAAACTCTTGAAAATGGAAGATGTCATTCAAATTGAATGCATACATATTTCTAAGTGGAGGCTATATGGTGGCATTATGCTAAACTGAATCTTGGGGGTATAATACTACAACGCACTTTCCTATTTTTGATCACGTATTAATAATTTTAATATCTGATCTATAAATATTTTACAATCTATAAAATTTATGCCTGGGTGTTTTTCTGTGATAGATTTGCCATGTAAAATTAAAACACAGCTGCAGCATTTTTTTCTGGAAATATCCCCAGATCTTTCAGGGGTTTTTTTCAGTGTGGCTGGTCATCAGGAAAGTAATTAGAGCCTTGCTTTGGAATTTGAGTTACCAAATATTGACTACAGAGAAAGAGATATTTCACAGCTGATATTTTTGCTTTCTTATCTCTCTGAAGCTGCTATCTCGGACATATTTGTACAGTGAAGAGTCTCACCCTGACTTTGGCACATTTTTTTTTTTACCTTGATAATTGTAGTGAGTTTCTTTGTTGTCTAAAGGTGGACTTTGCACTAGAAGAACTCACACACAGAAAGAAGCACAATAGCTTTTCTGAGTGACATTGGCTGCGGACAAGTCTTTCCAGTGACTATAAGCAGGTCAACAGAGAGAAATCTTTTCTGGTATCTAGGGTTTGAGGAAAAAGAAAACAGCAACAGTTCAGATATGTCTATGCTCTCCATTTTCAATTTTACTTTGAAGATCACTGAAATATTTTTGTCTGATACAATTATTCTCTCATGTCATATTCAACTGGAAACTACATAAATCAACAGATTTGACTTCTTTTAATAATTACTTTGTGATTACAACATATGTTTTAAAGGATGCTAGCCATCTGCATGATTCAACAGACTATCTTTGACAGAAAATATTATGCTTATGAACATAAGTAGGTTCAATTGGTAGGCATAATGTTCATGAATTCTTACATAATGCAAGAATATATTTATTTTTGTTCTTTCTACAAGACAACTATTTTTTAGACAAGATTTTAAATTTTATGTTATTCTTCTTTTGTGCTATTTTGTTGATCTAGCTTTCTTCCTGGGTCTCTGGGATATTATAAAAGAATTGTACTTTTTGCCTTTCCTGCTGCTGAAAACTCTTCAGATACAGTGGATTTTTTTTTTCATTTTTTTAGTGAATGACAGTATTGAATTAGTCTAGTCCCCAGACCAATAAAAGAAAATCCTTTGTTCAGAACATGTTCTGTTATCTGCAATCAGATTTAGATCAGGTTTGAGGTTAAACACACAAAACTACATGGTAACAGATTTCAATTTCAGCTCCTGCTAACTCCAACATATGTCAATGACAGCAGAATATAATGGGTACTGATGCTCTTGCAAGTCACTCACCTCCCTAGAGAATTACTGTGCAGGTATGGTCACTGCTATGAAAAGCCTCATGCGTAATCCTTTGCATTAAGGTATGAGCTTATTTTATACCTAAATTTTCGTTGTTAAAAATTTGACAACCTTGACAACACTGAGGGTTTATTTTATTATATATATACAAAGTTTACATTAAATTGCATATGTTTTTTATACTTTTACATGCCAATGTGGGCAAAAAGAGGATATTTTTAAAGATGTTTTGGATACTCAAAAACATTATTGTTGGTCTTCCTGAACTTAATTAACTAGAACAATTGGGCACAAAATTATCATTTCATACTTCGTCTGAGGATATTGGCCTTTTATTTTTGAGGAAATTTTCTTACTTTATGGTTTATTCCTTGCTTAGGATGATTGTTAAAATGCTGCAGCAGCATCTGTTTTTTACACCTATTGTCTGCTCCTAACTTTTCCATGCTGCTTTTTGATATCTTTAATGCAGGATCACGTCCCTGTGATGTCAAAGTCCAGTCCAGTCAGTGCCTGCAAACAAGTATAATTACAAATCCTCAAGTCTATGAGACTTTTCTCTCTGAGCACTTAGAATTTTATAAAGTCCAAGTATGGTTTCTTGTTTACTCAAAATAAAGTAGATATGAACTGAAAGATGGGAAATTAGCCACAGCTGAGTTTTTTATTAGATCAAAAATGCAGG